AAAAAAAAAAAATTGTTTCCTTTATCCAATCATTTGTTGACAATAATGCAAATATCAACAAAGATATAAAAAAGAGTATACAAATGACATAATCCATATTCGTATGGTCCTGTTGATTTCTTGGGCTAATATTTACACATCACCATTTTGTTTAAAAAATATATTTTTTGACATTCTTTAATTTTTCCTTGTTTAACTAGTAATTTATTTCGGGAAAATGAAATTAAGTGGGCACGTGTAATTAAATGTTGGATCCAATATCACATGTAATTATGGACAATTATATACATGTAATACTTTCATTTCTTTTATTTCTGGTCAACACATCGACGAATGCAAAAGTAAGCCGGTGGCCATTATATTTTGAAAAAAAAATGGTGGTTTTCCAAAGAGTTCACTGTTCACGTTTTCCCAGAAATTTTTATGTTTGGAGCAACCCCGAATGCTTATACACGTGAAAAGACCCCATTTGATGCGTTCACTTTTCATTTCTTTCCTCGAGCGCCTTTTTTGCCTTTTGAGATTCTGAGAGATTGGAGATGGCTCATGCTGCTGTTGTTTCTCTTATGCACACTCTTGAACAGATCCTTCAACATCCAAATCCACATTTGAATCCTTTTAAGCGGCAGGAAATTGATCGTCTTTTCAAAAAGCTTAGCTTTTTACTGGATTTTCTTGAAAAATATTCCCAAAATAGCAGCGAACATGTGCTACCAGTGGAAATAAAAATCAGGGATGCGGCTTATTTTGCGGAAGATGTAATTGAATCCCGCATATGCTGCACTGTTCTTTCACAATCTGGAAGTCACGGACAGGAAAGTTCTTTACAGAACCTACTTCCTATGCTCCCAATATCTGACAACGACCCACCTACAGGCTTCCAGAAGATAACGAAAGAATTTGATTCCATCATGGAAGAGGTGAAGATTGCGGACTTGCAGAAAAAAATAACAGAGATCGATCCACTCATGGAAGATGCGACGAAGATTACAGAGGGGATCGGGCAGTCAGGGCATTTTTTGTCATCATGACCTGAACCTAGTGGCCAGAGTACTACAATGGGATTTGAGGAAGATTTGAAGCAGGTAAGGGATCAACTCTGTAATGGATCATCTGGACTTCAAATCATTCCCATTGTTGGGATGGGAGGCATGGGCAAAACTACTCTAGCTAAGAATGTTTATGATGATTCATATGTTGTGTATCACTTTCATATTCGTGCTTGGCTAACACTGTCTCCACAATAACATAAGAGGAAATTTTTTCGAAGCCTTCTAAATCACTTTGTTGTTCTTACTGGCGAGATACGCAGAGAGAGTGATGAGAAATTAGCGGATCGCCTTTACAAAAGTCTAAAGGGTAGGAGATATGTAATTGTAATTGATGATATTTGGAGTATTACTGCTTGGGATAACATGAAATTGTTATTTCCAAACGACAATTTTGGGAGCCGAATCATAGTGACAACCAGGATAACAGATGTGGCGGATCATGCCAGCTAATCCACAAATCATCACCAGATGCATTTTCTAAATGTGGAACAAAGTTGGAATTTATTTCGTGAAAAGGTGTTTGGACAAGAAAATTGCCCTCCTGAATTGGAAGATATTGGAAGGACAATTGCAAAAAATTGTCATGGACTTCCATTATCAATTGTGGTGATTGTTGGACTTCTCTCAAAAGTTGGTAAAGCACGAGATGAGTGGGAGCACGTTGCTGAAAATTTAAGCTCATTTATAGCAGAAAAAGATGGCCAGTGCTTAGAGATATTAACTTTAAGTTTCAAGTACTTGCCTACTCATTTGAAAGCTTGTTTTCTTTATATGGGAGTTTTTCCGGAAAACTATGAGATTCCCGCTTCTAGACTCATCAAATTATGGGTTACTGAGGGATTTCTAAAACCCAAAAAAACCTAAAAACTTGGACAAGGTTGCAGAGGAATACCTTATGGAGCTCATAAGTAGAAATCTTATTTTGGTTCGTCGAAAGGGGTCTAATAGGAAAATTAAATCCTGTGGTATGCATGATCTTTTGAGCGAGCTATGCGTGAGGATAGCTCATAAGGAGAAATTTTTTTGTGTCAAGAGCAAGTATCTGTACTTTGATCCGGAAGAGGCAACTTTCATGCGCTGTCTGAGTATTCATGACGATGCCTCTTATAGTCCAAGAGAAGAGGATGTGACTGTGCGATCAATGTCTTGTGTACGTTCTTTCATATATAGCGGTTGGGATGAAACTCAATTGCATTCATATTATTATTTTGGTTGTCTGTTGCTAAGGGTATTGGATATGGTTGGATTGGAGCTTACAAAATTCCCAGATGAAATACTTCAACTAGTTAACTTAAGGTACATTGCTATCATCTGTCTTGGTAAAATCCCTCCTGCTATTACCTTGCTTAGGAATCTACAGACTTTAATTGTTGAAGACCCATGTGGAATTGCTATTGAACTACCGGATGAAATTTTTAATATGCCACAATTAAGGCATATCAAAATTTCTCGAGCTTCCCTGCCTCCTGTTTTCCCTATCCCATTCCCTGATAGTGATAATCATTTCGTTCTAGAAAACCTAGAGACACTTTCGATGGTACAAGATTTAGGAATGACAAAACATGTCCTCGAAAAAATGTCGAATGTAAAGAAGTTGGGAATTCATTATAACACCACTATATGGCATGTTTATGATGTCCACCTCCAAAAACTTGAAACACTAAAGATTGTCTTTGACTCGCCCACAAATTCAACTTTCCTG